TGAATTCAGCCACCACCACTCCCATTTCCTGGCCAGCCGTCCCCCCATGGTGGGGGACCACAAGTCACCCTGACCTCGAGGCACATCACCTCTTGGGGAAGAGCCAGAACTGAGGACCACACCCCCTGGTGGGTCCACTGAGTCCATCAGGGAACAGTGGGGTGCAGACTCCACCCCAGGGAGGTTTCCTTCTCTGAGGGCCTTTTCCCCTTGATGCTTTTCACTTGGTCGGAATGCTTGAACCAGCATTTCTGAGGAACGGTGTCGGAGGAACCTGAATCAATCCTGTGAGATGCTCCTGGAAAAGGAGAAATGATAAGGCTAGGAGACAGGCAAACAGAGGGGAAGCGGCTTCCAGGTTGTACTTGGGCACCTTTCCCTAGCCGTCAAAAGAGACCAAAGAGGCAATTTCGGTTTCTGCAGAGGCTGCTTTCATTCTACCACGAGTCAGAATGGGGGTCAGAGCTACAGTGGGAGGGGTGAGGAGAGACAAGCATGGGTTGGATCTGGCTCCTCCTTCTCTCAGCTCCGACATCCAAAGGGACAAAGCGCGATCCATCCTGACACATCCCCATTTGCCATCACCACGGCCACGGTCACAATGTCTCCAGTTCAAGCCCTCATCACCCTTCCACGGTGCCAGGAACTCCAATGGACTCATTTCTCCAGTCCCAACCTCCTATCCCACACGGCCCACTCTAAGACACAGATCTGACCCCCTCTCCCTTAATGAAAACCCCCAGCCTACAGGACAGAGTCCAACCCCCCGCAGAGCACGCAAAGCCTCTACCTACGCGGGTACTGGAGTCGCAGAGGTCACGGCGGACACTCAGACTAACCCTTTGCTGGCTACGTGGACGCACGGGTGTTCAGGTGCCCACGTCCTCAGCTGTGCATCGAGGATAGCACAATCAACCAGAGCTGCTGGGACGATTACATCAAAGTTGTAGACAGCCTCGCTTCCCAAGAACCATGACGGTGATGTCTCTACCTGTCCCTCACCTCTTCATAATGAAGGACTAGCCATGAACTCAGGGCCAAAGAAGGCACAGTAGAGATCTACACATGCAGGGACATCGACATAAAAATTAGGCGACCAAAATGTGAAAGAAACCAAAATCAACTTATTATCAAAGTAATGCGAGAAGAGGGAAGGTATGGGAAAAGAAGGAAAACATCACTTTGGGGAGGAAATGTTTCTAAAATATATAGCTCTATGATTTTTTGGACTTCATTTGTTCCAAAGATTAGGAAGATTATATTTCAAAAGTTCACAAAGGAGATACTTCTATTTTTTTGGAAAACTCTTTCTTAATTAATATCTTCAGAGAACTAAGAAGTACTTTTATAGGCTGACTGAATCTTAATAAAATTCTCTGAGAAATTCTGGCATCAGTCACAACAAACACCCTCTTGGAATTTAATTTCCTTTCCAGCATACGACTTACTACGGAAACTCATTTATGATACCACCACAACCAGTCAAAATCTGCCTGGAGGACAAAAACTTCAAAGCCCCACAAGAGAGCCTTATAGGATGGGATGGAAACTGGCCCCATACTCAGCCAAATCCTACACCTAACCGAGATTTCCCCACACCAAACTTTCCGGCTTGTACCGCCAGATTCCACTCTTCCATCTCCTACCCAGCCCTTAGCCCGCCCTGCCCTCCCACCTTACAATGTAGCTCTTCCAATGCCTCCTTCCAGCTAGAAATGCCCCCAAACTTGGTATCTTTCTCCCTGCCCAACAAAACGAATAAAAAGGAGACAGAGCACAAAATGGGCAAAGGGAAACTAGCCTTACCCATCTTCAACTTTCTATCAAAGACAGTCCTTTCCGGCCTCTGGTTTTGTTCTCCCTCCTTTTAGATGATGGCAGGGCCTGGAATATTCACCATGAGCAACGGCCACTGGGGTAGGAAGGCAAAAGCTGGAAGAATTATTCTTAAGTACAAAAATGTACCCTAAAAGCCTTTTCTCCCTTGAGGCCAATTCCTACTGGAAGACAATCAATCCCATTATCCCGAGTGCCTGTGGGCAAGGGGAGAGAAAGGGGTGAACGCCAACCTTCACTGAGCACCCACCACATATCTCATTTAATATAAGGCAGTGATCCTGATCTTACATATGAGGAGAACAGGCTCAGAGGGGCCGGGGGATGGGCTCAGGAGGTACACTGAGACCTACCGGACACCCAAGACTCACGGACTCAAGCGTCCAGTATCCCCAAGTGCTTACACTAAAATATTGCCTGGGCTAGAAAATACTTCACAGTTTACACATTGCTTTTCATATACATTATCTCACTTACTACCGCAACCCTGTAGGAGAGCTAAGAATTCCTTTTCCACTATTACAAAAAGGCTATCTGGCTTCAAAGACCATCAGCAAGTTGTGCAAGCCAGCTGTAACACTTAACAGTTTGTTTCCTCAGTGTCTGATAGGGTGGTAGGGACTCAAATAGTAACTGTTATTAGCATCATAATTTTCACTAATTTCATAGTCCTAAGGGAAAGTAAAATTTACACACACAGACGAGCACACATATAGATACACTACAGACATTTTAAAGATTCAATCTAATTAGTTATGCCTTTACGTGTTGGGGGAGGATATAGTTTTCCCACTTCAAACTCAGAGATAACCACTAACTGCAGCTTCCAAGAAACTGACCAAAAAAGGATTACAGAAAATGATGTGGTCAAACCCAATATGGATTTTGAAAGCTAATGGAAGAGAACAAAAGGATAGGAGCATTTCAATTTGTGATAAAATACAAAAAAAAAAAAAAAAAAAAAAATCCTCCTCCCCTTCTAGCATCATGGCTTCATCGTTACTGTGCCGTCTGGCCTGGCCATGTCATCTCAACTCGGGGGTGCCCCTCGGCATCCAAACAAGAGAGCCAGCAGATGACCTGGAAGTTCTAGTCAGAGGCCGCCCAGGGGGTCTAGGGAGGAGTGGCCACATTATTACTTCAAGTTATTTTTAATGTGCTGCATCTAACGAACCGTTTGCCTATGAATTACACTCACTTGAAAGGAAACCAGGGAAGTTCAGAAATGCCAGATGCAACAGGAATCGGCTCACAACTTCTCAAGCCACAGGGAAAAAAACGACAGAAGTGTGGTGGTACAAGGATCCCAGGACCCGTCAGACAGAAGGAAATCTTTAGTACAATGGCAATGAGAGATCCTGGGGGTGTTCTTCGAGTAAGGCTGCACCAAGACCAAGCCAACCGAGCATCCACTCCAGACTTGAAGGTTAAAACGAAAGAAAAAATTCAGGCCTGCCGGTAGGATATACCTAATTTTTTCAAAGCACAATTAACAACTTTATAGTCAAGATTGCTAGACAGCCATGTATACTGATGGCCTGCACCACAACAGTATTCATGCTATAAATCTAGTACCAATTACTATTAGTTTTTTATTTTGTTTTGTTTTTTGCAATCTTTCTTGCATCTTATCTGTTGTTAAGTCCATCCTCATTTCCATAATTATCATCGGCTGATGTTGATGTCATGTGACTGATTAGTCTCACAAGGAAAAAGATTTCAGTCCCCCTCAGAAGCTGACTCTTGCCTCCACCAGATTATCTAGTTCTGTTTTTATACCCCATTTCAGAGAAATGGAAACTGAAGGGCCCATCCAAGGTCATCCTCCTTGCTCATGTATCTAGGACTAGAACTAGGGTTCAAAAGGCCCAAGGTGTGGGCCTCCAGCCCCATCGATGTCGCAAATGACCTGGCATACTTGTGTCCTGAATACAAAGTTTACTTGAAAAATGAAAAAAAGGCCAACATGAGTCATCGCTGTTGTCAAGGGGCACCACATAGGCTGTTCTAATAAAGCATCCAGCTTCTCCAGAACCACTTGTTTCTGCAAAACGAGCCTCAGCCAGGGAATAAAGGGCCATGTCTTATTCCCCTTCAGAATACCCAGGACCCTGTGAGCAGCTGTGCGGCTGGCCTTTGCGGACCTGCTGGCCCAGCCCAGGGAATCCCTGACATTTCCTATGCAGAGGGACTGGGGTGGGTGGGTGTGGGAGGAGGTCAGAGTTGTGCTTTCAGACAGCTCCCTGCGGCAGTCAGGATTTCATACAGTCCAGTCCTGCTCACCCTGGAACCCCTAACTAGCTCACCCACTCAGGGATCCCCTCCTCAACTTCCCCAGGACAAAAGCACTGCAGTGTGGGAGGTGAACCTGACGGATGGGGAGGGGCGGGACCTGACCCAAGCGGTGGAGGAAGCAACGCTCAGCTCCCTCTCGCACCCCTTACAGAAACTCCCCATCCGGTCTTCAGACGCCAGAGGTGACCCCAACTCTCCAAGCCTGACCCCTCTCTCGGGGTCTGCCCAACGGAGGCGGAGAGCAAGCAAAACCCACTCCCCAGCGCTCTACCCCGCCACCGGCTCGCCTCCGGTCCCCAGCGCTCGCCCCCGGAGGGCCTCCCTCCTCACGCGCAGGGCCCCCCGGCCGGACACTTGCCCACTGCAGTCGGAGAGCCGGAGCGCACCCCCTTTCTCCCCGTCCGCGGAGGAGCCGCGTCTCCCGCCTTCCCAAACGGGGCCCTCCCGGCCGCCCCGCCTCCGGCCCGGGACCCCCCCCCCCCACCGCGTCCCTGCGTCCCCCGGGGTCCGCCCTGCACCCGCACTTCCCGCCCGGCCCATGCGGGCTAGCGGTCCGCCCCAACTTTTCCGGCCGCGGCCCCGTTCCCGCAGCGGCGGGGATTCCCGTCCCGAGCCGCGACTGGCGGGCGGGCTCGCGTCCCCTCGGCCCCCGCCCGCCCCGCCGGCACGAGTTGCGCTCGGGACCGGCTCGGCGCCCGGGCCTCGGCCGGCAACCCGGCGCGGAGGCGGAGCCGGCGTGGCGGGAACCGCGCTGTCCCGGCGCGGGCACCCCCGCCCGGTGCCCGGCGCCCGATCCCCGCGCCCGCCCGCCGCGCCGCGCCGCCGCGCCGCTCCCTGCCCACCTGCCCGCGGGCGCCGGCGCCGCTCACCTCCTCCCGTGCCGCCGCCGCCGCCGCCGCCACTGCCGGGAATACGTGGCAGTGGCCGCCGCCGCTCGTGCTCCCCGCCTCGCCTCGCCTCGCCTCTCCTCTCGGCGCCCGCGCGGGCGGCTCCGGCGCGCTGGACCGCAGCGCCAGGCGCCCTCTGCCGCCGGGAAGCCGAATCCTCTCGCCCTAACCCTAACTCGCCCGCCGCCCCCGCCCGGACCTCGGCCGCAGCCCACCGCCTTCGCCCCCGCCCCCGGCCCCCGGCCCCCGGCCTGGCCCGGCCCCGCCCCCACGCTCGCCTCCGAGCCGGTTCCGGTCCCGCGTGCCGGGCCCGGGCCGCCGCCGCCTCCAGGGAGCCTGCCCTGACCACCCAGCCGCTAGGCGCCGCCGGTACAGGTCATCCTCGGGCTGACACATTTCCTGCTTCTGGGACTGCGTCGCCCACGAGGCAGTACAGTCGGAGGGGGGGGGGGGGGCAGCCAAACACCACGTCTCTCGCGTTCACCATTCTCCCCGCTAGGGCTAGGTTAGCGCCCTGCCTGGATTACCGGAGTGCGCAATAAACACTTGTTGAGGGAGCGAAAGAGTGAATGAATGAGTAGAGATTTCTGCAGCTCTCCACAGGAGGCTTTTAAACCTCAAGCGGACGGATATCTTGACCTGGATTTGTTTTTGTAAATTACACAGGCACGTGCTTGGCTTCGCTTGAATAAATAGGATTCACAGTTTCCCACCTCAGACCAGCACCGAAGCCGCGCAAAGCCCACAGCTAAATGTTATTCGGGGCATTTAGTCAAATAGAGTTAGGTTTTGGATCTACTACTTACAAGCCGGGAAATCTCCGGAAAGCTAATCTCCCTGGGCATGGTTACCTCATCTATAAATTAAGAATAATAAAATCTTCGTCAGATGCGTTGTTGTGAGCATCAGATGAGATCATGCGTTGTATGTAAAGCGCTTTGCCCAGCTGCCCCCCCCCATACACACACAAACGCCCTGTAGACTGTAGTATCTAAAATGGTCGCTATTTTTTTTTAAGATTTTATTTATTTATTTGATAGAGACACAGCGAGAGAGGGAACACAAGCAGGGGGAGTGGGAGAGGGAGAAGCAGGCTTCCCGCCGAGCAGGGAGCCCGATGTGGGGCTCGATCCCAGAACCCTGGAATCATGACCTGAGCCGAAGGCAGACACTTAACGACTGAGCCACCCAGGCGCCCCTAAAATGGTCGCTATTTTTAGTATTATTACTGATCTAGTAGTAGGAAAAACTACAGGCAAAATGTAAAAAAAAAAAAAAAAAATGGCCACCTTTCACCTGAGGACAACCTTGTGGGACTGTCATCTGCCCAAGAGGCCTCTCCAGTCCCTCCTCTCCTCACCACCAAGAATTAGCTGGTGTTGATGAGTTAAAGAGCTGTAGAGCTTGCTCTCCTACCGGGTGTTCAACCAGCATTTCTCTGTCTTAATTAAAGAGTCTTTATTTTATTGCAAAGGCAGTAAATAGTTTGAGTCCGCCCTCCCCCAGCAGTCTACCCCCGCCCCCCCCCCCCCAGCAGTCTACTGCCTCCTCCTCTTCCCTTGGCCCCTCTCTCCACACCTGGAGGCCAATCTTTTCACTTTTGACTGTCTGCTTCCAGCTCCTCACTTAAAGCAGCAGTGAGGAAAGTGTCCTGGCCTCAGATGGGACTGGGCTGGAATTCCAGCCCATCCTCAGTGGGCTTTGGGCACCTCAGTCCCCTCGGGGGTGAACTGTAGAGACTAACACTTATCTGTGGCATTGGGAGAGAATTGGTGACCCAGTCTCTGAGTGAAGTCCCTGGACCGTAGGAGTGTTTAATAAAAGGTATCTGTTGATTATTTTAACAAGCATTTAGGGAGCATCTACTGAGTGGTACAGGTGCTGGAAGAGTGAGGAAAATAAGCATGGGGGAGGTGAGATGCCTGCCTTCAAAGGAGCTGGAGTTCTAGGAGATGAGACAGGCGGGTACCTACCGACACCCGTACTAGGGCAGAGGGATGGGGGGACATGTGTGCCATTAAATATGAAATGAGCAAGCCTCAAGTTCCAAACTGGGGCACTGGTATTACCGTGTGGCTTGCTTGAATTCATTATAATTGTAAATGGCATTTTCCTCTAAATATTATGTACATAACTTCCCAAGGCCACTGCTAAAAAGTAATGAATAATTTTATGAGGCAAGCAGAGCCATTTGATGTAGGATTCAGCCCCTTAATAAGGTGACTCCAAGTACTTCCTTATACTAGTAATAACATCTATATTGCATCTTTGTGAAAGCACCATAATTTATAAGTTAAAGCTCCGTATCTTGCAACGCATGTCTAAGAAGGGAAGTTCACACGTTGTTGCACTAATGACCTCTAGTGAATCATACCTCAGTACCCATGGCCTTGCTGCAGCCCTCTGGGGGTGACCTGGGCTAGGTTATGTGACATGCTTGGGCCACTGGGACGTAAGCAAACACTGAAAAAGCAGAGACGACTGATGAGCCCTTGTGCCTTGTGCTCGCTGTCTTGGGATGCCGTGAAGGAAGTGAAGACAGGTGGTGGTGAGGATAGGTCTGTGGAAGACATGCCGTGCTGGGTGCCTGTGCGACCCTGGGAAGGGGACAAGGACTCACACTCAGGATAGATGAGGAAACACTGCCTGGTGCCTCAGCGATGTGCCCTGTTGTGCTGTGCTGGGCCGGGGATAAACCGTATCGGCCATGAAACAGGAGGGGGAGGCCTCCAACAGGGAAGTCTGAGCGCCTCGGAGCGTTTGCAGAAGAACCCTCAGAACCCAAACTGGGTTCGTGACCTGGCTGCAGCTGCCAGGAACAGAGGTCGGCGGAGTTGTTCATAAACCTGCTCCCTGGGCCGCGTGCATGCCTGTTGAGTGGTCTCTACAGCAGGAGTCCCAGGTTCATCCCCTTGGGGGGCGTGGGCGGGGTCTGTGGAGAGGTTTTGGCCATTCAAAGCCAACCCAAGAGTCATAAGAGCAATGCAAAGCTAAATGTTTTCCTCTCTTGTATCAGTGAATATTATATTTGTGATAGTTGGGGGTGGGAGTTGATTTTGGTCATTTCTTGGCAAAATGAAAAATCAGCAACCTCAGTTTCGCCCCCAACCGTTTTTGTACCAGTACTGGTCCGTGCAAACTGGAAGCCTCAGAAATGAGCGGTTTTCAATCTCAGCCACCTGGGCAAGCCCTGCAAGGTCTCAGCAGACTTAGTAGCCTGTCACTCAGTCTACTGTTGTTGCGACTATTGGTCCAGTCACGTGCACCCATCAACCTCTGTTTCCCTTCCTGCCTCGCATCTACTTGGCAGTCCTATAGCTCCATGGTTAGAACATGGGGCTAACGAGGCTTCACTCCCAGGACTTCATCTGTGCCCGTGGTTCTGGAGATGTCCTGCTGGGAACGAAGCCCTGGGTTTGAGGTCTGGTCAGTGACCACGCATGTGTGTGTGTATTGAGAGGAGTCTTTCTGAGGTCACCAAACACTGTTCTAGTGAAGGAGAGCCACTTAACCCTAAGAAGAGATACTGTTTTTAGTCCCTGTTAACAAAGGGGAAAACTGAGACCTCAAACATTCAAGTAAGAACTAGCTGAATACAGAGGTCAAACCTTTGGGTGTGAGTTGAACTTCAGTCTGATACAAATTCCCAGAAGCCTGACCTTCTGGAAAGACTTTTTTTAGAACTAGGCAAGGGGCGAAATTTATCTTCCCTAATCCTCGAGGGGAAAATACCCAACTTCGTATACTTGCGGAGGAGTAGAGCATTAAGTCCCAGACATTTGCATTTCCACCAGAAGCTAGCCTAGCCATTCCATCCACTTGGCTAGAATTTGAATTCTTGAGAGAAAACTACTGCATAAGTAGCAAGTATTAGAATAAAAATGTCTTTTTCTTACTGGTAGTAATGTCGAATGTATTTTTTTAAACAAAGACTCTGAACACCATTATACTTACTCAATTCTACGGTAAAGGGTAAAGGTAGGCTCGCGCACTTCCAGAAAGCTATCAAACCCCGTCTAAGGAAAAGTTTAAAGATCTCCGCTTTCATTTGTACAGAGTCGCCGGGGCACTCATGAAAAGTTCGACCAGGATCTTCGCGCTCACTGCCTCTGGTTTTGTGAAATTTAAGTCTGCAGCTAAAGGACGGGAAGGACTCCCTACATCTTCCCGCTGCCAGCAACCTGAGCAAACCCTCAAGCCAAGGACACCAGTGGATTCTTTCAATTCAGTTTCTTCACAACTTTCTCCCTGCCTGCAAATGTTAAGTTTCTATTTCAGGATAAATAAGAGCTTCATTAACTCGCCTGTCTTCAGGCTTCTCTAATTCCTTTAGAGTTTCATTTTTTTATCTTGTTTTGGTTTGGTTTGGTGTTTGCTTGGGAAAATGAGACCACACTAACACCACCACCACCCCCCCACCAGAGTCCCATTAAATGCGGAACAGTCCACATGGGCAGGATGGAAGCTCAGCTTTGTTCCGTAGGTTGTAAATAGTCCACTTCAGGTTTTAAATTCCAAACCGAAAAGCAGAACTTCTTAATTATCTTAGCTCTCCGATCCATAATCTCAAGATCTTCATCAATGACTCCTATACCAGCTGTCCCTTTTGGTCTGGCACACTTGTAACATCAAAAGGTGTTTCTGAAAAACTGCGTCCTTGTCCCCAGTTGAGCTTCGTCATTTTCAGAAAGCACTGGTATGGTTTGTAGCCTATACTTAACTTCTCCATCAGTCCACACATATTTACTGAGCACCTTATATGTGCAGGCAGTGTACTGAACTTTGTGGGTACAGAGGCAAGCAAAAAGACACGGTCCTTTCCCTCCCTAGAGAAGCTCACAGACCAGTGGAGAGAAAAATAAATATATAATTACAAATTCTGCTTAGTGTTTTGAAGGAGAAGACCAAGGTACTCTTAGAAAGTTTAGTAGAGAGACCTAGTTTTAAATTGAGAGGTCTGGGAAGATCTTTCTGGAAGTGACCATTAAGCAGAGGCTTGAGAGATGAATGGGTATTGGACCAGTGAGAAGCCCATTGGGTCCATAGCTCTCCTCACCACGGCTTCTGCATCTCTTAGATAATGACCAAGATGTGTAACTTCTCAGAGCCTCATTCCTCTCAGAGAAGGGTCCTGGAAGCCCTGTCTCCACACAGGCACTGGGCAGGGACAGCCCAGGGACTGCCTCCCCCACTCAGCCCGCACTCTGCTCTCTGAATGCCTGACTCCCCTTTGCAGCTCTAAGGTTCGCC